AAAAAAAAAAAAAAGTCATTCATGTAGTAGATTATTAAAACATTTAGTATTGAGTTTATTATTTGAGGATTATCCTAATGACCACTATAATTACGATCCCCTTGAATAACAAGGACACTAGCTTCCCTTAGCATCAGGTAGCAGCCTGCATTCACTGTATACCTCTTAGGAGTGGTGCTACAGTCTGAACGTGTGCCCCTCTCGCCAATTTCTGTTGAGATCCTAGCCTCCAGGGTGATGGTATTAGGAGGTGGATCGGCACCCTTGTAAGAGGCCCCAGCGAGGTGCCCAGCCCCTTCCCCCTTGAGAGGACGTAGCAGGAAAGCCTGTCCACAAGGAAACCAGTCCTCACCACACACTGACTGTGCCTGATCCTTGGTCTTGTAAATCTCGGTTGTTTAGAAGCGACCCAGTTTGGGCGATGGCAGCCTGAACAGGCTGAGCCAGGCTGGGTCACCTCACTGAAAACTCTGCCCCAGATCCAGGCTCAGAGGAGCCAAGTCACTTATAGATTTAATCAACATTCTTTGATGTTTAAAAAAACCCAAACCCAACTCAGATGAGCTTAGCTGGGAGTAGGGAGTTGTGGACTCACGTAACCAGAAAGGACAGGGATGGGCTAGATCTGGGAACAAATCATCGTCAATTGACTTATTGTCCCAAATGTTCTGCACCCGGGGTGGTGACGAGATGGCAGGAAGCTGGAGGTGACCGAGGGAGTTACAGTTTCCTACCACTTCAATCTAACGCTCCCCTAACAGAAAAGATGTCTCCTCCCAGCAGCCACACGCAGGTGCCGGGGAAAACCCCCAAGCTCTGGCGAGGTTCTCATGCCCTGAGCTGCCGATTCTCACAGTGCGTGTCCCTGAATCAAACTACTTATTCCAATGGGAAATTACTCTCTCCGGCCCCACCAGAATGTCATCTCCAGGAGACCTGGTCAGTCCCATTTCCTGGAGGGCATCCCTGAGGCCTTCCAACATTTCATACCTGGGATGTGCTTGGGCACAGGGGTAGACAAAACGGAATCAGAATCAACGTAGCCCACCTCTGTTTCCCTTCCTTCCGCCAGTCGCCTCTATACTGGCCTCTGGAACAGCAGAGGCCACGAGCCACAGGCCAATTTGTGTAACAGAAATAACAGACACATTTCCAGAAAAGTGAGGCTCTGTTGGAACAGAGTCTTGGCCCTCTGGCAAAATAATCCACTTCTCTGACCTGAAATTCCCTTAGCTCTTTGGAACAGTAAATCTACCTGCCCTGCTCGCCCCACAGGCTTTCAAAGGCGGTGAAAGTTGTCTTCAAACTTGGGAGGCAGGTTGAGCAAGCTCCTTCCTCTCTCTGAACACTCTCCCTGGGAGCCCGTCCAAAGTCAGCTCACCAGAGTCACCACACATGCCCACATCTGCCCATCAGCACCTCGGCCTTGTCCACTTGTCCAGATGGCCCACGACATATAGCCCATTTTCAAGTCTACATCCTTGACAAAGCGCTTCCTGATTCTCCTAAACCTAAAGTAATCTTATTCTCCCTTAAATGGCCGAGGCCTGTTACCTGTACACCTCTACCACCATCTCGTCATTTCACAAGAAGCCCAGGGAGCTAAACTGGCCAGGTGGCCCTGTGGTTGTGGCCGTTCTTTCTGTGCATACTAGACTCAGGTAGGACAAGAGGATTTTCTGGAAAGAAAGCTCACTGCAGGTGTTGCTAATTTACTAAATTCAAACCTGGATCCTCTACATTTCGAAGGTCAGAGTAAGGCTTGGGTCCTCAAACTACAGCCCACAGGCCACATGTGGCCGACGAGGACATTTATCCGGCCCGCCAGGTGTTTTTGCCACCGCTGCCTGTCCTGCTTAGCAGCCGACTGATCCCGGGGCCTGCAGTCCAGCCCTCCAAAGGTCTGAGGGACAGTGAACTGGCCCCCTGTTTAAAAATTTTGAGGACCCCTGGAGTAAGGTTAAGGAGGCAACAGGGAAGCCAGGAGCTCCTGACCCAGCTGGGCTGTAGTGTGGGAAAGTTGCTACAACAGTTGAACCACCCTGGGACCGTGTGGGCAGGAAACTTAGGGACCTGCCGTAGGGTTCACCTGTGGTTCTCCTTTGTAAGTCATGCTTTCTTATCATGGATACTTCAAGAGCTTTTGTGCCACACCCTTTTAAAAAACATTTTCTGAAACACTTTTGTAATAGAAAACGTGTTAACTGCGTTCACCTCTTTCTTCTCTTAGTTGTCCTTTAACCTACAGACACAAAAGGTATTTTTAAAATCTTTTTCTTTTCTTGTTTCAGAAGTTCGATTCGGTGGAAGAAATCATTGAACACTACAAGTACTTTCCTATTATACTAATTGACGGGAAGGATAAGACGGGAAGCCACAGGGAGCAATGTTACCTCACTCAGCCGCTCCCCCGCGCCCGGCATTTGTCACCACCCTAGCTGGGGTCTGTATCTTCGGTTCTTTGGGGTCAATGCTTCCATCACTTTCCATTTATTTCAAAAGATTATTTTCTATGTCTTTCAAGGAATGACTTTTTCAACTTTGTAGAAAAGAAAAATAGCCTGTAACAGAAAGTGGAAAATCAATCACGGTTTTGCAAGTTCTGCAAAGAAGACAGGTCGAATATTCCCGACACACATTTTACAACTGAGGAAAAGGCACCTCACTGGCCCAAATCTGCCGGTGACGTAGTTGTGACTGGAACCAGGGTCTTCACACGTAATTCCCTGTCACTGAATATGTGCTTTACTGGATCTGGAATTGAATATTCAGTGATTTGCATCTGGCATGCCCAGATTCCAAAGTGTTTTAATACTAATCCATGTTGAACTGTTATCTCATTTTTGGTTTAAAGGTGTTACTTGACACCTAGCCGCAGTAAAGTAAGGAAATATTAGCCTTATCCAGTTATAATATCTGTGCATTCCAGATACTTCTTTCGGACTCGATAATTGCCATTCTGGATAAATGTATCTCCTCCCTTGCCTTTAATAACAGACTTTGGTAGTATTTGTTTGTGCACCACACGTGTCTTTGTCACTAAGCTCTGCTGTAGATGCTGGAAATAGAGCAGTGGGTAAGAGAGACGGACAAGTAAAGTACAAATAAACAAGATACCCTAAGGCATTTCCCACTAATTTTGTTTCCCCTTTAACACTTACGACCAAGTGTTTGTGGGTCGGGGTCAGCACTCCGTATTTTAATGAAGTTCCTTTGACATGGCTTTGAAAAGTCCTAAACCAGTAAACTTAGTTTTTCCAAACTTACCTAATAGAAAATTCTCCCTCTTGTGAAGAATGTGTGTGTGTGTGTGTGACAGCATCACAAATCAATCAAACCTCCTGTTCTAATCACCACGGAGGAATCCAATGCCCCCCTGTCAAACACGGCACAGCATCATGAGCATGTGGCCACACAGTGTTCATAAAACAGCCTGTGCTGAACCCAGGAACGGATTAACCAACTGTGTCAATCCAGGGAATACCATTCAGCCATAAAAAGATGGAGACTTTGTACCTTTTCTATTAATCTGGATGGTGATGAAGCACATTCTTAATAAAGTATCACAAGAATGGAGAAGCAAGTATCCAGAGCACTCAATACCAATATGAAGCTGGGGACAATCTACAGGTGTCCTCAAACTACGGCCTACGGGCCAAATGCGGCCCACCTAGGATATTTATGTGGCCCGCCAGGTGTTTTTGCCGCCACTGCCTGTCCTGCTTAGCAGCTGACTCGTCCCCGGGCCTGCAGTCTGGCCCTCCAACAGTCTGAGGGACAGCGAACTGGCCCCCTGTTTAAAAAGTTTGAGGACCCCTGATCTAATACATGCCGACCTAAGTAAAAATTCAATTCAAGTTGGGGGGAGGAGGGAGAAGTGGGGAGGGAAGGAGGAAGGGGATTGGAGAGCCCCACTGAGGGGGCACAATGTAAGGGTAAATGGCACATTTACCTCTTGGGCGCAGGACACAACTACAAGAGGGACCTTACCTAACAAATAGCACTGTAATGTAGTTGTCTAGACCCTCACATTACAATGAATTTTTTTTTTAAAGACGGCCTATACCGTGTAAGAATAGCATTGTATCTGTGTGTCTGTTTTCTTCTCCTAAGTAATATTTGTTCTAAGTAAGTGCATTTACTTTTATTGAACATTGGTGATCTAAAGCTGTTGCTAACATAAGTGAAAGCAAATATGTACTTAAATAGAACATTTTCAGATTGCATTAATGTACATAGCTATCATTTAATTAAAAAAAGATTAAAAAAATAAAATATAACATTTTCTGTAGTCAAGCATTGAAAAGGGGATCAAAACATATTTTAATTTGTTTTCATGTCCTATTTATCACCCCTAAAGCCCTTTTGAAATCATATTTCTTAGAAATTTAGGAAAATTTTCTAGAAAAATTATTGACGTTTGATAACTGTGCTAGATCTCTAGAATAAAGATAATTAAGACACAATCCCTGGGATTGAATCTTTCTGTTTGTGATTTATATTTTCATCTTGTTTAAGAACTCTTTACCTATGCCAAAGTCAAAAAAATTATTAGATGAAAATGTAAGACTCAATCTGAAAATTTGCTTTTTGCTTTGAGCTGTTGTTTGCTTGTAGAATGTGGTTTTAACCTCAAGCCCCACAGGCAAGATGCAATATTATAATCCTCTTAGTAGGGTGAGGTGACATCTCACTGTGGTTTTGATTTGCACTTCCCTCAAGATCGGTGACGCTGAGCACCTCCTGTACCTGCCGGACATCATCAAAAAAAGTGATGGCAAAGATGCGGATGGATTGGGCCCCACGCACTGCTGGTGGAAATGTGAAGTGAGCAGCCGCTCTGGAAGGGTAGAGAACTTTCTCATAAAATTAAAACCCCATGTAGCACTGCCGTACCCAACAACCTCACTTTGGGGTTTAGAGCCTAAAGAATTGAACTCAGGACCCGGAAGAGGCATCCGTAGCTCCATGTTCACTCCAGCACTGTTCAGCAGAGCCAAGGTAGGGAACAGCCTATGTGCCCGTCAGCCGGTGAACAGACAAAGAAAACACGTCCTCTACACACATGGAGAATGGTTCAGCCTTAATGAAGAAGAAAACCCTGCCCTTTGGGACGGCCTGGGTGAGGCTGGGAGATGCTGTGTTAGGTGAAGCACGCCAGCACAGAGGGAGCAGGACCACAAAACCCACTTATGTGAAGCATCTCCAATCCTCAACCCACAGATGAAGAGAATAGGATAGAGGCTGCCACAGGCCAGGAGGGGAAACGGGTGTCACCGTTCAACAGGCGGAAGGTCTGGGTTACACTCGGTGAGTGAGTTCCAGAGATTGCTGACCAACAGGGCACCTACAGTGAGCAACGATGTGTCAGACACTTAACACTTTGTTCAGAAGGCAGATCTCTTACTAAATGTTCTTACCACAAAAAAGGAAATAGGGCAGGAAGCAATTTTTTTTTTTTTGAGACAGAGTCACTATGTTCCCCTCACAGAGTGCTGTGACATCACAGCTCACAGCAACCTCAAACTCTTGGGCTTAAGCAATTCTCTTGCCTCAGCCTCCCAAGGAACTGGCACTACAGGTATCCACCACAACACCCAGCTATTTTTTTGTTGCAGTTGTCATTGTTGTTTTAAGACTCACTCCTGGGCCAGGTTCAAACCCGCCAGCCATGGTGTACGTGGCTGGCACTCTACGCCCTGGGCTACGGGCACTGCCCAGGAGGAAATTTTTGAAGGTCACGGGTATGTCTGTTTTCTCAGCTGTGGTGATGGCTTCATGAGTATGCACGTATGTTCAAACTCATTAAAAAGTACACATGAAGTACGTCCACTTTTTCTTATATTAATTATACCTCAATAAAGCTGTTTTAAAGAAGAAGGAGGAGATACACTTGTTATCCAATCACACAAGGCAGAACAGTAGGGCAAGTAGTTCTCTCTCCTGTCCCCCCACACTGCCCCACTGGCAGGCAGAGTGGGGCCTGCGGGGAGGATGAGTCAGGGAAAGTTCCCCAGAGGACACGTCAGGCAGGGCCTTGAAGGTGCTCCTGGGACTCAGGCCGGGTAAGTACTTCATGGGTCTACTTTTGCATGGTCTTGTCTAACAGGTGCCTTCTAGGCCACAGGGAACCAGCAGGGACCACCTGCAGGGGCCAGTGAACACCATAGGGGCAGGTCTTGGAGAAAGGACAGGTGATTTATTAAGCGGCTCCAGGCAAACTGCTCACTATACAGAAAAAAAAAGAACACAGTTATGTCTCCACCTCACATCCTATACAAAAACACATTCCACCAGAAACCAACCTCTCAAAGCAAAAAGCAAATTTCGAACTGAGTCTTGCATGTTCACCTAACCATTTTTTTGGCTTTGGGATAGGTAAAGAGTTCTTAAGACGAAACTGTAAGTCATAAACGGAAAGATTCAGAGATTCCTGACACCAAAATTTAAATGTTTGCCTAAGTTAAACAAAGCAAAAGGCAATTAAACAGCCTAATACATGCACCTGTAAGCAAAGGGCACAAACGAGTAACTCACTCACAGAAAAGGGAGGGAGCCCAGTGCTGTAGTCATGGCATACAGCTTGTGCAGCTGTCACAACTGAGCAGAGATGGAATTAATAGCTGCCAATACACTGTCATGGAAGGGACCTGTCATTTTTTTTTGAGACAGACTCTCAAGCTGTCACCCTGGTTAGAGTGCTGTGGCATCACAGCTCACAGCAACCTCCAACTCCTGGGCTCAAGCGAGTCTCCTGCCTCCGCCTCCCAAGTAGCTGGGACGACAGGCGCCCACCACAACGCCCGGCTATTTTTTGGTTGCAGCCGTCATTGTTGTTTGGCGGGTCCGGGCTGGGGATTCAAACCCGCCACCTTAGGTGTATGTGGCTGGCGCCTTAGCTGGTTGAGCCACAGGCGCCAAGCCGAAGGGACCTGTCCTTAAAGACAAATGACATGACCTCAGGAAACAGAGCAGGCACTGGAGTGTGGCTGTGCAGGTCCCCAGCCCACAGCACTAGGAGACTTTAGCCAGAACACCTAAAGCAGTGGTTCTCAACCTTCCTAATGCCACGGCCCTTTAATACAGTTCCTGTGGGTGGCGACCCACAGGCTGAGAACCACTGACCTGAAGGGAGGCCTGAGAGTGAGCCCCCCATGAGGACAGCAGATGGGCTTCCTGTCTGTCCAGAAGAGAAAAGTAAAATGGGCCGATGAACACACAGGAACATCCCTCCATGCTTCCTGGGGAGCTGCACAAAGCAAAGGGCAACCCCCCAGGACCCTGTCCCCACATCCCCAAGGTCATGCTCATCTGACAGCTACTTGTACAACAGCAGCTGCAAAACACTAACAAAATAGCTGTTACACTGCACCTTTCACTCGCCACACAGGGACAGATTAAAGATCTGGAATAAAACTAGAAATCGGTAGCAATGGGA